TCTGGCCCGGGCACATCTTGGCCTAATCCCGGCATGTAGCTGCACGCATTAATTAACACAGATAAAGCTGAGAGGCAGCCGCAAACTGCAACTAAAAATCCTTCAACCCTACAGTCATTAAACTTAAAAGAGCAACCTAGAAAGCTGACAATGAAACCGCACACTGAGAGAAATGATGGGGAAATATGCAAATATAGGGTAAATAACAGAAGAAACTAGATATCAGTTAACTTTTACTATATTACTTATAAATATGGCTTAAAATATCAAAAAATCAAAGTTAGTTCTAAACGGCGTTGTTTTTATAGCATACTTCTAGGCATCTTAATTTATTTCATTTCAAAGTCCTTAGAGTTCTTGATAACACCCTTGAATATCGATATTACCACACAATATTTAAAGTGCTCTCTCTTTGCTGTGACATAAAATCCCTAGCCCAGAACTTGCAAGATTTTCTATTCTCTGCGTGTCTGCGGTTTGGCCATAGAACAAAAGTGGGTGGTGTTGTTGGTTGAAGGTTGGTGGAGTCTGTTGGAAATCTCCCACGTACTCAGTGTTGATGCTAGTGCCTTAACGAAATCTAGGTTACCACATCGCAGGCAACATCAAGTTGACATTTTATCGGGAGTCGTGACTGCAAGTTCCACTGGCAAATATGACAGAAATTACTATTAACAGGCAGTCGCAGTCGCTGTAGGAGTCGCAGTTGCATCTGCAGTCGCTCATTCCAGTTCCTTGGGTTTATTGAGCGCATGAGAAATTCAAACATTCTGCATCTAGCATATGCGTAATGTCACTGTGGGTGGTGCACGGGTGTGTCTGCTCAACCCTGGATGTGTCTTAAGGCAGGAGAACTGCAGCTCATGACATGTGACAATGTCAGAGATTTGGTTATCCCGCTGCTGATGCTGCTTTAAAATTCAGATGTTATACGCCATATGAGCCATTTGAAATTAGGTAAAATGCAAATATTTATTTAGCTTTGAATGATATGAGCATGTGTGCGTATTAAGCAATGGAGATTAAATACATGCATTACGTATACGCCAGGTGTGCGCTTCTCATTTTACCATAATACTTTTTTTTTTTGTTTCTCCTGTTTGGCTGTAATGTATTTATAGCGTGTCTGTCGACGTTTCGGGTTTTGCTATTTGCCTGGACTGACAAGCCAATTAAATTTGACATACATAATTAAGTGCGCTGCGTGAGTAGAAAGGCAAATAACAGACAATCGCTGGGAGTGAGTGAGTGAGAGTGGGAAAAATGAATTTTTAATTAGCAACCAGCTGAATATAGATTGATATAGGATTTGTAGTATGAGGCCAGAGCACTGGATAGAGCTAATTTTAGAGAAGAGCATGAATGTGTGCTTAGAGTGGATATCAATCATGATCTCTTCACTGATGCCCCATCGCTCGGCTTTCTAATTAAAGTTATTCATCACTCTTAATGGAAATATTAGAGTAAATTATATATTTCATTTGGAATTAATTGCATCGCAATGGACAGATATGCGAGTGTGCAATATTGTAGGTTTTCCCCCTGCCCCAGGAAAATTAAGCATTGATGAATTTGTGCTCTGGGGCCTGACTTGCCTGGTGGGACTTAACATTTAAGCTTCGGATATAACCGTAGCCACACATATAGCATTCCATCAAACAGCACACGTGCTGACACACCCATTTCACTGGCTTTTCCACAATTTCCTACCAGAAACCCCTCTCCTCTCTTGTCTTTTTCAGCTGCTGCGTTAATCCTTCTTCTCTTGGCTTATTTATGTGTATTTTCCTTCTCTTATTTGGTTTTTTGAGTTTTCTTTTCTTTTTTTTTTTTTGTTTTCCAAACGAGAGACAATGCCTGTGCCGGCGGCGACTTAATACCTCGGCTATTAAATTCAAATTTATTGCCTATAATTAAATTTTTTTCGCAACGGAAATCGCAGGAAATTGAGCATCCAGCCAAACGAAAACAAGCGCCCGAAAAAAAATACTCTCGTAATTCATTTTTCGCACAGAAAAACCTGACAAAAGTCGAAATGTGTGTGTGGATGTGTGTGTGGTAGATAGTGTGTGGGAGAAAAGTGTGTCAGCTGTGCGTCATAAATTGAATGAAATGTGTGTCATATTGGTTGGATTTATACATTTATTAATACTTCAGCCTCTTGCCCTCCCCCTCGAGCATATTTCTCTCCCAATTAAAAAGCAATACGCTAGAGGAGGTTATGTTTACGATGAGTCATAACAGTTTGTTTTTTCTGGCCAATTGCCAGCAGATTGCACTTTTTAGATATTATACTCTCTATCGGTGTTTGCTCTGCAAGGTTGCTGACGATTTTCAATTATGATATGGCCACAAATATACACACAAACACACACCCAAGCTACGAGACATGAGACTCCTAGCGATGCCTAACGGGGCGTATGCGCAATGTCTTTTCATTCGAAACGCTAACTGAAATTTATGGGGCATACGTGGCATGCATTTATATTACATGCCGTGCCGTGAGTCCTGCTTGGCAGTAATTTCCGCCAGCTTGGTGGCTGTTTTTGGCTTTTAATGTGCATAATTAAGCATTAATTACGCCCCCGCCATTCATCGCAGTAACCCAGAAATTGTTGTTTTTACAGCACCCATTTATCTGGCCGCCCTTCATGGTCGTTCTGAGTGGCGGAATGGTCACCCATACCCATAGCTATACACAACCCCCTAACCAGATCCAGATATAGACCACTGACCGCTCGTCACCATATCGGGAAACCATTTGCACAATTTAAGCATTTAATTGCAAATTTATTATGCTTATTCTGTGGCCATTCTGTAATTGATTGAGCGTTGCGTTGGGTTTGGTTTTATATATATATAGGAGTATATATATATATAGATGTGCTTAAATTTTGTGAATTTGTCTGGGAAAGCGAAAGCAGCTGAAGGTGAACAGCTGTGGTCTGCTGACCTTTATTCGTGTGTCGGAATGGCACATGTTGATGATTTTCTTGGCCGTTGTCAGCTTACAGTGATCAATCTTAATGGGATGTTTTTATGGTGATTTATTAAATGAAAAAATATTATTCTGAGAGCTAAAAAATGAATAAAAGATAGATGGATTTGCTCGTTAAAAAGTATAAAATTAAATTGAGAGAAGAAAAGTTGATTTTAAAAAGGTAAAAAAAAGGAAAGAATATTTTAAAATTTTTAAGAACTTGTTGGGTTGATAAAATGATCTTATTTAAGACAAAATTTATCTTTTAGTTAGCCAGTTTCTACTGTATTCAATTCACTTATTGATCTGGGGCCTATCTAAATATGCAAATTGTCCATGTTGAAGCAAAACATGGAAACTCGTTTGGCATATTTGACACAGTTTTCTCGAGTCAATTTATTAGCTCGATTTCTCTGCTTCACTCTGCCTCTCTTACATGCTGGAAAATCTGCTGAAAATCCAAAACGAAACTTTTCAGAAATTCTCCTGCAGACGCCCTAGCACCTTTTTCGGCAACTTTTCTACCCAATCCATTGGACAGCAGTGACCCGAGAGAGAGTCTGCTACAGAACTTGTCAATTACCCAGAGTGCCAGCCCAGGTGGGGTGAAAAGTATGCCAGCGAATAAATAATATTTCATTTGACATAGTTTCCAGAAAGTACAAAAAAAATAACTGAAAAATAAAAGCAAATAATGAAAACGCAGTGCTGAAAGCCAGCGGCAAAGTTGAAAAGGCAGAAATATGCTTTGTAGTTTGGTCTTTCATTAGCTGGCATCGTCACCGTCACGGCTTGTTGTCAAAGAAGTCCGCCGTCTTACACTCGAAGCGAAACTTGTAAATTAAAAATGCAATGCTCCCGCAGAGAGCGAGGAAAACTAATAAATAAGCTGGCACCAGCAAAGCGGAAAAGAAAACCAAATGAAAAGCGCAAAAGATATATATATATATAAAGAGAAAGAGAGAGAGAGAGACAGCTCGTAAAGAAATGGCAGATGAAAGAAGACAAAGGGGAAAAAGTGGCACAAGTGGCATGTTGCAATGTTAATTGAAGACAAATAAGAGCCGACGGAGGGCCGTTGGTGTTGAGGTTACTCGATGAGCCCGAGATCCTGAGACATCCAAAGAGGAGCAAGCAAACAAAAAACCGCAGCCACAACATCAAAGGGCATTGCAGGTGGGTGGTTGGTTAGTTGCTTGTTTGCCCTTTCAGTGGGTATTGAAAGGCTGGCAAGGCTGTTCATGTGACAGTCTTTGACTTTGAGGCCCAAGCGCGAATTGGAGCGCAGAGCAGTTTTAAATTACTTGCGGCCTGGGTGTAAGGAAAAAATGAACAGGAATAAAAATGCCACGGAAGTTGGTGGAAAGGAAGAGAGTAAACTTTTCCTCAAAGCTAATCAAATAGATGGAGCTTCGGGAAGTTGGATTATCTGGGAAAAAAGTACACGGAAATTAGGTTTATTATGTCATTAAGATGATTAAGTTTCTATATCAGAACAAATTGCTAAACTCCAATGAAAAATGATGTCCTCTTTCTACTTTAAAGTTCTCAATTTCATGAAAAGCTAACAAATATTGGTATTTTTTTCCTACATCGCATTACTCCACCACTTCCCTTGCCAACCGGAAACTCCTTTCATTATTACCACTCTTTTACATGCATTTAAGTATTTTCCCAAAATCCCTCATACCCATTTCCCATGACAACCATTTAACACCCAGCAGCTCTTTCGCTGAAAAAAGTGTCTCTTTAATTCAACGCTCCACGTTGCGTATACGTAATCTGCCACTTAAGCTGACACCATTTCAAACAGTCGAAAAGCACTCGGTGAATCTTCAAACACGAAGCAAAAACTGGGAATGGGAAGTGACAACGAGCTGCTAAATTGCAAATATTTGCAAATTTTCCGCATTTCTTTCTGTTTGCTTTTGAAAAGCTCATTAAATTTTAATGACTAGCCCACTGATGAGCTTCGTTTTTGGTTTCTTTTTTCTTCTTCTTCTTCTTCTTTCGCCCGCAGGTCGCACCCACAATGCCAACTATGCACTGTACCACATTGGACAGCCGGCGACATCGGCTGTCAAACAGTTTGCGGAATCGGGTCGAACGGATCTGCTGGACAGCAATGCCGGCGAACAGCAGCAAATGCAGATGCAGTTGCAGACGGGGAAATCCCCATCAGGTGGAACCAGCAGCAGCAGCAGCACCAACAGTTTCAACACCACATCCACATCCTCATCTACAGCCGCCAGCGGTGGCGGTAATGGTGGTAGTCCTACCACCGAGCGCAGTGTGTTCGATGAGTTCAGCATGCCGGCGATTCCATTGGGCGCCGGACGCAGTGAGGCAAAAGTGTTTGTCGACAGCAATCACAGTCTGGTCTCGCTAATGACACGCATTGTTCCCTCGCCGGATTGGTTCATCGGTGTGGATTCGTTCGAGGTGAGAACATAAACCAGAGAAACACAAAAATCACACACTATTGAAATTGCACAGAGACCATCAATAGGCAATCATTCGAAGAGGCCAAGGGGAATGCGGTTTGCGTTAGAAAGAGTTTTAAATTAACTACTATAAGATATATATTATTTCTGTTTCACTGTAATGTTAAATTTCTATGGAAATTTGCCTTCTTTATTTTTGTTTATTTTAAATATTTTCTGGAAAAAATTAAACTTCAAAACTAAAGATTACTATTAATATAATTCAATTTATTATCCTATAGAAAGATAATTGCTTGGCTATTTTATATTTTCAATAAACTAATTCCTAACTTTTTCCTCCCACAAATGCCTTAAGTCAATCACAATTTGCTAGCCAACTAGCCTAGGGCCCTCTTTTCTATTCTATTACACAATAAAAGGCTTTTCTTGCTTTACAAAATTTAACTTAATTAAAGAATATTTTTATTAAAAGCCATCAAAAATGTTTTCACTAGTTTTTGCTCAGAAAACTGTAAAATGTAAAGAAAATTTAAAAAACTGAAATGAAACCAAAGAGCCCTTAAAACTTCTTTAAATTTCCCTCAACTTTCAGCTCTGCGTGGGTGGCTCTTGGATCGATACCGTAACCGTGGAACTGGATCCTTTGGATGCGGGCACGGATAATGGTTTTACCTTCACGGCACCCAACTGGCCAACAGCACCTCAGGGCGTCATCTATCGGATCACCTCACGTTATCCTGGCCATCCGGCGGGTAGCTTTTATTATCCAAAGAGCAAGCGTTTGCCGCCCATCGCCACGTTCCAGTTTATCAAGGTGAGTGTACGGGTAACGATCCCTCCTGACCCCTAACACTCTGACCCCCTGGACAGCAACCGACGGACAGCAACCGACGGACAGCAACCAAAAAAAAAAAGGTTAAACAAGTTAATTAACAGCAAATTAGCAGTCAAAATGCCTTTTTCCCACTCTGGAAACCCTAATGACTTTTCCAAAAAACCAAAAAAAAAAAAAAAAAAAAAAATACAGAGCGAAAAAATCAAAGTGCTAATGAGCCATTAGCATTACAATGGCGTCAACAGCATCTACCACAATCGCATACTCACACACGCACACAGCCAGCCACTTTTCTCGCCATGCAAACATGTGTAATGGCTGTGCGTGTTTCTCTGTACGAGCATGTGTGGCTGTGAGAGGGTGTGCGTGTGAAAGGCGTATTTCCTTGGCTGCGTGTTAATGCGCTTTATAAATCAGTTGAGTTCGCAGCTGGAATCGAGAAAAAAAACGAATACGAAATGGCCAACGGAAAGAAAGAAATACCGGAAATAATGCTAATTACCTTATAATTATTTGGGCCACATTAACAGGGGCATGCAAAAATTTGTGTTAAGAGGAAATGTAAACAAATTAAGGCAGTTTGACAGTCATGGGACTGGGAAATATTATTCAAAGTTTTCGTAGCATACATTTCGGCTGGCAATTAAATATGTTAAATTATTTTTATTTGGATTTTATGAAATAAAAAATGAAACAAATTAAATATTTTATCTTAAATTCAATGACATTATTAATTCGTTTTAAAATTATTATTTAATTAGAAATTATGGTGTTAGGAAATTGAAAAAAGAAAAGAAGAAAATGTAAACAAATTAAGGCAGTTTGACAATCATGGGACTGGGAATTATTATTAAAAGATTTTGTAGCCGAAATGTAGGCTGGTAATTAAATATGTTAAATTATTTTAATTTGTTATTGAATTATGGCATGAAAAATGAAACAAATTGAAGATTTTATCTTAAATTCAATGACATTAATAATTCTTTTGAAAATTGTTATTTAATTAGAAATTATGATGTTAGGAAATTAGGTTATGCAAATTTCACGGAATTTAATAGCATTTTTAATATGCATTTAATTGAAAATTATTGAATTAGAAATTGCAGTTATGCTAATTATCTGCAAATTAATAGCTTTATTTGGTGAATTTTATTAGAGGAATTAGCAAGGCAAAACGCGGAATTAAATACCTTTTCCAAATATTTGCGAGATTAAACATGTTTAGAGAAGAAATTCAAATGGCAAACTTTGAACTTAAATTTAAGTACTTAAAGACTTCAACTTTCCATTAATAATATAATAATTATGTAATTTCAATTCCCTTTAAGCATAAGCCATGATATATCCCACTGATTGAATTTCCATATTAAAACATAGAACCCACTTACCACGAAACATGTCCTGAATTATCCTTATCGATGCACAACCGCTTTGGCCATTGCTTTCAAGCGCTGCAATAAACATTATTCTGCACTCCCTAATAAATGCCAATCCATTAGGCCTGCCCAGACTCAAAGGACAAAGAGCCAGGACCTCCACCACTGCAACAAAGAACCCTCGACGGCAGTAAAAACGACCCAATAGAACGGGATATCCCTTAGTAAGGGGAGGCAGGAATTCGAGCATTGTAATTATATTGCTGGACATCCAAGACATCCAGAAAGTGGCGCACTTACGGCTACAATGCCTTGGGTCGCTCATCAAAATTGCTTTTATGTGTGGCCAAAAGGAAGCTCACATAAAATTTATGCCTTGGGTTTGACGTCCTCCTCCCGCCTGCTGACTGCCTCTCGCCAGATGTTTCGACTACGTTTGCATAGTTTATTTCATAGGGGCAGTTTATATATGTATATATATCTCTATATATGAAGAGAGGGGAATGGCTGTGTAGACATGGGCGTGGCTGCTGCCCACTGTACGTGCGGTCATTATTCTTTATTTGTTGGTGGTTCTCTATTGTTGGTGCAGCTCGGCATTATTGTAACGCCTTTTTGAAACTACTAATTTTAGTTTTATTTTCTAGGCTTTTCGGTGTGGGCGTGTTAAAGCGTCTACTCCTTTTGGGGGGAGGTTTTGGGTAGGGTATATTAGCTAGGTAGTGAGGTTTGTCTTAAAGATGAGAAAGAGAAGAAATTTAACATTATTTTTAGTAATTTATGAAATGTTTAAAAATCTGAGAAAATTTCGTTCACTTAGAAAATGTTAGAAAAGACCTAAAAAATTAAATATTTAATTAAAATTAAGAACTTTTCAAGTAAATAAATTGAAATAAATTATAAACATTTTTAATTGATTTAATTTTAAGTTGATTAAATTTACTTGAGTTTACATTTCATTTACCTTTTCTTGAATACTAAATTTAATCACTTTGACTATTTGAATATTCATCTTAGACTAGCCCAGGCATTTATCATGGCTTCTTGTTAAACTAATTCCCCAGGGCAATCAAAGTTCGCCTTGGTTAAACTAAAAGTCTGACATTTTATTATTGTCCAAAGCACCCGAGGCTGTTCGACTTTTGTTTATGGCCGACAGAATGGAAAGTTATTTACTTATATGCGTTATTTTTATGGCCAGCACATGTCCTAGGTCCTAGTGTAATTATGTGTTGATTTGCTTCCTTAGAACGAAGGCCAACAGCTGGGGGTAGTTGAATAGCATTAAATTCTTAAATTCTGTAGACCCAAACACCGGATTGCTGGAATATTTGTGTGTCATTTAGTGAATGGCAAAAGGCACGTAATCTCGGCAGTTGGGAATGCTGAGGGTTTCACTCGCCGTCTGGGTAATCCACAAGGAATTTCACAGTTTTTCCAGACCCCTCGTTTCCCTCGTCCCTATCTTTTAGCTTTCCCTGTCTGTGTGTGTGCTGGATTATTGTGTATTTTAATGCCACAAAAGCAACACGCGGCTCTTCTACATTGTTTTCCTTTTCGTTTTTTTCCCCGCTGGATTTTTTGTTTGTATTTTTTGCCTTAGATTTTTTTTTATTTTATTGTGGTTGTTGGCGCCGCTGTCGACGCATTTGCAGAAGGTATGTAGGTACCAAAAGGTAGACCAAGATAAGCCAGCCCGAAAAGCGGAGGGGCCAACAATAACAATGCGTATTGTGTATAGAAAATGACAGCGGCCCAAACAAATAAATTAAAATGCGCGACAGCGCACCAAACAAAGTTTTTCATACCCTTCGATGGGTCGCTGGGAAAGCATGGGGTATATCGGTTGTTAAGGATACTTTCGAGATAGAGGTGTTGGGGGTGAAAACTTCTTACTTTTAGTCTACTTACTAGTTTGTTAACTTAATTATTTTACAATGTTATAAATTGCTTACTGAAAACAAAAGGCAGAAAGGAAGTCAGAAAGGCTGGTAGTAAAGATTTTAAATTTTTTTTTAATTTTTCTTATATTTGTTATAAACATAAACTGACATTTATGAATTTTCGGATTAGTTAAGAGCTTGTTAAGATTTTAAAAATATTTTACAAAAAAACAACAAAATTCTATACAAGAATTCCTAAGGAATTCCACGTGTTAACATCCCAAGTTGATATCCAAACCACATCCTTCCCACCTCTTAATACCCTCTAATCCTCCATTGACGTTCTTGGCCATTTCATACCGTTGCTGCACCCCTGTGGCTGTGTCAATATTTGCCACAAATTGAAATTAGCAGCGCGTTAAGAGCACCTGTACTCCCGGTCCTTGCACGGCATTCCGCATCCTGTATACAAAGTTGCTGATGCCGGGCACATAATCCCCGTAAATTAATATGCTGCACATGTGTCTGGACCAGGGGACTAACATTCCTCTCTCACTCTCTCTCTCTCCCCCTCTCTCTCCCTCTATCTCACTTCATTTCTCCACGTATTTCCAGCTGAAGGAGTACGAGCTGAGCGAGGTATTCAACATTGCCGAGGACGATCGCAAGTATGAAACGGTGCAGACCCAAACCCACCTGGATGCGGAGCACAATCATGTGGAGATGAACAACGAGCTGTCCGCCAGCATTGAACGAGAGCGACAAACAGAGCAGCAACAGTTGCAGCAAAATGACGACGAGAGGCAGCGAATTCGGTCCCAGCTGTTGGCCAAAATGAATCCCATGTAAGTGAGGCGAATGTTCTATGAGATTTAATAGGAAACCAAAAAATGTTTATAGAAAAGTTAAGAGGGTTATCCAGAACAATGTAGATATGAAATTTAGCAAAAGGAAAGTTTTAATGGCATAAATATTCCCTAAAGTGGGTTGCCAGCTAACAAAATAAACTATTGTTTGTTGGTAAAACTTTAGTTTTGCAATTGCTAAACAGGCGAAAAGTATTTTGATTTTGATTTTAAGTCACTAAATAGTAAAAAGTAGTTAAAAAGCTCTTTGAGCACAATTTACTTTAGTTTTAAAATGATTAAAAATTTGAACTAGCTTAGAAAATGTAAGCAAAGGCATTTACATTTAACTAAATATTGTTCTCACAACACAAAAGGTTTACTTAATATAGATAATACTTGTATATAGATAACATATTCCTTAGTCATTGCCTTATTTTCATACCTGCCTGACTAACAACCACCCTTAACAAAGGCTAAATGATAATATAGTTCAATATTAAGTCTATCAAAATGTTTTCCCCAACCTTTTTCAAGTAAACTTTAACAGTTCAAGGTTTTCCAACCGTCTAGGTCGAATTTAAAGCCCTTAAAGTAGGTAAAATAAAAATCACCAAGCTAAGCCAACTATAAACAAAAAGTTAAGAAAATATTTTCTTATCTTATAATTATCGATTGACATACAACAAATGTTTACTCGTTAGATATCACTAGTAAGTCACCTTTACTCGCCAGCTAAAAATATATAAGAAGTAGAAAACCATTTTCCTTAAACACACAACCAAGGGCTGAAACAATGTTTGGGCCAAGAGTAAGCTTTAAATGCCACGTCTCGTATACGTAATCTGTTTTGGAGTGCAGAAAGCGCTTCAATTGGCCCTATTTAACATATGCGTAAAGTGCTTTCCCCTAACTCAAGACTCAACTACTTTCAACACTCTATGTGTATGGTACATATGCATTCACATATTTAAAGCGACGTGCCATGGCCCAGGCCCCCAAGCTGTTGGAAAAACAAGCGAGTGGGTGGGTGGTAAGGAAAACAGCTTTCTGGCACACTTCAAAGCACATTACACCACCACTTTGGAGGCGTTGTCGGTGTTTGGGGCACAGAACTAAAGAACTAAAGAGCCAAAGGAGAGTGGCCCGAGTGGCACGTACCTGGGGTAATGCTGCATCTTTAAAAAGCCGCCCAATTCCTTGGAATCTCCCCCCTAACAAAAACTCCAGATGGGTGGCAAACTACAACTAATCCCTGCTAACAGTTCCAGTCTCATCCACATCCGCATCCCTCGTTGTCTATTTTCGTGCCACTTTTGGGCCAAAAAGCTGCTGGAGTGGATTTTGGCACCATTGGCACTGGTAACCTGCATATTTAATGACAATCCCCACCAACCCGGGACGTGTTCGAGTGCCAAGAGCCAAAGAGTGGGCGTTGTTGGATTCACCATCTCCCTTTTTTTTCCTTTTCCTGGCAAACTGACAGGGTCGGATACAAAGGCCAGGGACCCCCAAGGTATCAGATATGTCTGCCAAAATACTCGGGCCAGTTTCGAAGTAATTACTATCTTATCGAATGCGCTGTCGCGGGTGGCCTATAAAAGTAGAGGAATTGCCGGCAATCGAGCAAAGAGTTAAGTGCCAGCAACATGTCCGGAATCCCGCCAGCCACCTTCACCGTAATCGCTGGCAGTGCAGCCCACAATCAGCGTAAAAAGAATCAGAATCGCAATCAGAATCAGAATCAGCCAAAGAATTCGACAAGTAAGCATATGCGGAAATCACATTCGATCAAACATAAGCTCTTAACAATTTTCTAGAGACCCAAACAGAGACAGCGGGGTCGAAGACAAATAGTTGCCACATTGCTTAGATATAGTAACTATCTTATCTGTGTACCAAGGATTTAAAGCATGAAAATACATTTCCCATGACATAAACATCGTGTATAAATGGGCCGAACAAAGCATTTGGGTTTTCAGTTAATGGCCAAAACGAAAACGACACGGAATATATACCTATAATCAGACAGCGACAATATGAAAACGACCATTGTTGAGGAGCGAAGTGTTAACGAAACGATAGAAACGATAGCCACGAGTAGTGGCACCATCCAAGAGACCATCGAGATAGTGAATATCGATGGTTCGCCAGCACCTAAGCAGCGGCATCATCATCATCACCATCACAGGCACCATCATCATCATGAAAGACAGGAGAATGTTGAAGTCGTGGAGGAAGTAATTCTTGTGGAGAATGAACCGAAGGCTAGGAAGCATCATAACCATCACAAGCAGCGAACTTCACCACCACCACCTCTACCCCAGACCTCCCCTCCATTCCTTACACCCACCGAAGAAGTGGGTTTCAATGTGGTTTGGGAACCGCAGGCCTTTTGGAACCAGCCCTCGCCCAATCCCTCCACAGATCTAGATCTTTCACCAGAGAAGGATGTGGAAGAGATTTTGGATACTACATCAGCCTCAGATGAGTTCACCACTGTGGTTTGGGAAACTGAGACCAAGGAATCAATTAGGGAGTCCCAAAAACACACAAGGGTTGTGGAGGAACAGATCATAACCGAGCAATTGGATCCTCCACCTTATGCACCACCTCAACTTCAAGTCCAGACCGGATTCTTTCCAGTTGCGCAACAGCCTCCTCTCTCTCCCATTGCCGAGGTGGTTCAAACGGACATCTTTGTGGAGTCAGTGGAATCTTCTAAGCCACCAACAGGTTATATCCCCAGAATCAGTCTTAACCCAACGGAAACTGTGGTGGAGAATGTCGAGGTTGTGGTTCCAGCTCAGATTCAGCAGGAACCGGAATTCATTCCGAAACCAGGATTTGTTGCTAGACTCGTGGAGAACATAGAAGTTGCTGCAGCTTCTGTTTCTACGCAAGCTACGCCAGCTCCAAAGGGATATTATGCTCGATCGGGGTTGGTGGACACTGTTGTGGAGGATATCGAAGTTATCAGAGAAGATCCTCCTGTTCAAGATGTGGTAGTGGATTCTGTTGTGGAAGATATAGAACCCGATTCTCCTTTTCTCCTTCCACCCAATGGCTTTGATGCTGAGGAGACGATTACGGAGAACATAGAGGTAGTTGATGATTCACCATTCCTCCTGCCAGCTAATGGCTTCGACTCTGAGCCAGTCTGTGTGGAAACGATTGTTGAGAATATAGAAGTATTGCCACCAAAACCTATATTACCAATTCCTGTACAAAATACTGTTCCTGAAGGTTATGTGGAATCTGTAGTGGAAAACATAGAAGTCGTTAAAGAAGACGATCCTCCCTTTTTGCTGCCAGTTCAGAATGGATTTCTCTCTCAGACAGGCAATGTGGAAACAATTGTAGAGAACATAGAAATAACCACAGCAGTGGATCCTCCATTAAGACCACCAGTACAAAATGTAAATCCTCCCCGATCTGGTTTTGTAGAATCAATTGTGGAAAGTATAGAAGTTACAGCAGAAGTGGATCCTCCACAGCCTGCAATTCCAAACGGTTTACCCTCACAAACAGGCTTCGTGGAATCGATTGTGGAAAACATAGAAGTCACGGAAGAAGTGGATTCTCCTGTGGAAACTCCTGTTCAACTTAGTTTCCCACCAAGATCAGGTTTTGTGGAATCGATTGTGGAAAATATTGAAGTCACAGGGGAAGTTGAACCTCCTTTAAGGCCACCACTACCTATAAGTTATCCTCCTCGTTCCGGTTTTGTAGAATCCATTGTGGAGAACATAGAAGTCACAGAAGTTAGTCCTCCATATCAACCACCCCCACAAGTTGATATTCTTCCTCAAACAGGCTTTGTTGAAAGTGTGGTAGAGGATATCGAAATCACAGAACCTGAAATAACAGTGGAGGAGATCGAAGTGCTCCGCAATCCTCCACAGCAATCCATAGTGACAACCAACTATATGCCTCGAGCAAGTCTGGTGCAGGAACTGGTTGTGGAGTCACTGGAAGTAACACCAGCATCTTCACCTCCACCCGAACAGTTTCCCTTCATTTCCAGAGAGAGCCTAATCGAAGTTGATGATTATGTGGAGGTGGAAGAGGCTACTCCTTATAACACTGCTCAGAACAGCCCCTTTGTGGAAGTGGAAAGATTGAGCGATGCCGAAGCTTATGTGGAGATTATTGAAGTTACACCAGTTAATACGCCACCCAGTAGTCCGTCTCTTCAGAGGCCAATCGAAAGTGGTTTCCTACCCAGACCAAGCTTAGCAGAAACGGCTGTAATTGTGGCCTCACTGGAGGTTACGCCCACTCCCACACCTCCGCCCAGTCCACAACTGAAACTCATAATACCACCATCGAATCCACCGCAAACGGAGGTGATTGTGGAGTCCGTTGATGTCACACCAGTTCCATCCCCACCACCACCTGCCAAACCGTCGGCGAAACCACTAAATAGCTTCATTCTCACTGACCTGGTCATAGAGGATCCTCCATTCGTAGAAGTGGTGGAAAGGGAAGTCATTGTGGAGTCTGCCAACAATGGAGAAGTGACTGAGGTCATAGAAGTCACAGAGGAAATCATACAACCTGCCACACCCATCGGAACTGTTCTAGTTGGTGAGGTATCCGAGCAGAGCACCGACAAGTTTGGCAAGCGTTACTCCGTGAGTGCGGCCCTGGCCGAGGGACTGCAGCAGGAGCAGGGAACACAGGAAGCCAAGCCAGCACCACCACCAATCCAAAAACGAGATATTTCTGCCAACGAACCACCAAAACGCAAATGTTGCCACTGCAAATGCATAATTTCCTAGAACCAGAGGTGAGGGGCTTTCCCCAAAGGCAAGTGCAGGGCCAATGAATCAGAAACCATATCATATTATTTAAATCTTATCAATAACTGGGTGTCTTTCTCTTATCAGCCTGGGAATGTAAGCTCCGTCTATCGCATATCTAATCAGCGGAAACAGAAGCCCCACCAAAAAAAAAAAGAAAACGAAATCACAGTAATTGATAGTTAATTACCAGCGGACACTCAAGGCGAAAGTGGCGATAAGAGGCCAACTCAAGAATCTAAAGTGCTGGTGGTCAGTCAGTCGTTAGCCATCGGTCGAGATGCCACCACCAGGACGCGGATATGGAGGACCTCCTAGGGGAGGGCCCGGAATGGCTTACGGACCACCGCCACCTCGTATAAATGTCGGCGTAAATATTGGTGGACCACCACCACCGCCAATGGGTGTGGGCATTGGGTTTGGACCACCACCGCCACCAGCTGTGATCATCGGAGCACCACCGCCACCACCTATGGTTGTAGTGCCACCACCAAGACCCACCGTTGTGGTGGGTGCCCAACCGCCAGTGGCCACTGTATATGCCCAGCCCCAGGGAGAGGTTTTCTGCTGCACGATTCTCTGATGGCAAACCATGAAAAGGAAATATTAAAATGTATACTGTGCTTCTACATAGAGTTATTAACTACGTTTCTACACCCTAAATTAGTTAAATAAAAATAGTTTATTCATAGTTCAAGTTCGATTTGTATGCTTGAAAGTGATTCATTGCATTATTTTGGCAGAAATTGTAATCAACCAATATGCAAACGATAATTGCATGACTGAGTAACTATATAAATGAGTGTCTCGATGATTATTTCCCAAACGTATTCAGTTATTGGAAATATTTAATAATCATATTGAAACATGACAAATTCCCAAACAATAGTCAGTTCAATTATGCAATGTGAGAGCAAATTACTATATTAATACAATTTTGCTGTCGCTTTTCAATTTGGAAATCCAATAAACTTTAGCCCGAGGAGTAATTTTCTCGTCACATGTCCCGATAGCTGCTGAGTCACAAGAGCCCAAGTTTCCTGGGCTCTGGCAAATGCAAATTGCTTCTGTGAAACAACATTTACTTAATACGTTTTGATGTGCTCATCTAATGGTAATTGCCGTGAACATGATCGAAGCAAATTGTCGCTAATAACTTCCATGTTCCCAGGAACAAAACTCGGCAAGAAAGAAAAACTCAAGGCAAAAAAAGAAACGAAAGAACGAAGTAAAAGGTATTTTCAAGGGAACAAAATTGTTGTATGTAATTTCAATTTGGGAATTTTCCTCATTATTTTTTCGTTGGGCCTCTGTAGCTCTGTTCCTTCTCCTGGGTCTTTTAATATTTTTGCCAATTTATTTGCGCTCCTTCCTCGTCCTCCTGCTGCTCGTCAGAGTCAGAGTTTCTGTGCCTGTTTCGTCTGCCTTTTGATTTTTTATTATTATTTGCGCGATTTTGCAAGGCGGCATACGCGCGGCATGTGTATGCAAATAAACGAAAAACTGCAGGAAACAAAACACGGAAGTTGCCCAGGAAGGAAGGAAGGAAGGATGGATGGGTGGGTGGCAGGAAGGAAGGAAGCCAGGCGGCAGTGGCCGCGGCAGCGCCATAGCGCCAAACGTCGTGGATCCGCGACATTACGGGAGGGAAGTTTTTTCACCGTTTGTGGTTCGCGCGTGGGTCCGCCGAAAAAGACCTGGGCTCCGGCTCCACATGGCATAGGGTTCTCCGATTTCGGTTGCCGGTTGCTTTTCGAGGCTCTGTGTGTGTGTGTTTGTGTGTCTGTCAGGCCGGAGCAACATGGTGCGGCACGAAGGAAGGCTGGCTAGCTGCCTGGCAAAAGGCAAATTTAAATTGAAATTTTCCACAGTTGATGTGCTGAAATAACAAACGTGAGCAGGCAACGTGCACACCTTTGAAAATGGAAGTGCTGGAGGCGCACGGGTCGTATGTGTAATGTGGTAGTCTTTTAGCGTCGGCAAGTTAAGCTACTAAAGCAAATCAGTTAGGTTGGGGAAAATGCCAAGTTGGATTTTAGCTTATAAAGAGTACGCCCAGGAAATAGAACCACTTGCGATGATTACGAAAATGTAATATTAATAATCGTAACGCACTTTTATTAATTATTTAGAAATTTAAAGTAGAAAAGCAATATTTAAGATTAGAAATGGAAAAGCTGTGAGATTTAAATATTTATAAAATAAAAGCTGTAGTTCATATCAGTTACTAATTTTTAAGCATGTAACTAAGACCCCAGAAGCAAGTATCATAATAAAACTTAACTTCAGGCTAGTTAATTAACATAAATTCCTTCTCTTAAAACTCATTGAATCCCTCACTTTATCCACTTCCAGCTATAGCAGCAACAACAGCCTGCAGCCGGCACCTGGTCAGGTGGTCAGTGTGGTGCCAAAGAACGACAAGCATGCGATCCTGCAGAGCATCGCCAGCAGCTATCGGCGTGCCACAGATGCCAGCAATTTAAACGCCTCCAATCCGACAGCCTCGCAATCACCACTAGCGGGTGGCAAGGTCGCTGGTGCTGGCAGTGGGGGTGGGGCTGGAAGTGGTGCCACCCGCAGGCGAAGCATGGCGCAAAGGCGACGCGACTGCCGCGTTAGCCACTGGTCAGAGTGGACGGCATGCAGCAAAAGCTGCGGCGTTGGCGAGATGCACCGCTACCGCAAGGTCATCAAGCACGGCAAACGGGGCGGACGACAATGCCCGGCGCTCCAGCAGTCCAAGTGGTGCGGCACCGAGCGCAACTGTCACGGGTCGCAAACTTATTTTAATTGGTAAGCTAAGCTTAACTTTAGTTTATAGTTTTTATTAAACAATCAAAAATTTATTAAAAGAAATAAAATTCAAGTCAAAGATAGCAAAGAAAATCGCTTCTAGATTGATGAGTAATTTTCATGTTAAGCCCTGATGAATCACCCTAATATATATATATATATATATTCCTATTCAATTACAGGTCTGATTCCGACACATGAACGAGCCACTCGGTGGAGGCACTGGCGATATAAATATAATTTTAATTTAAGGCGTAAGAATTGCTTTTTCTGTGTGAACAAGAAAGACCAGCAAGGCCATCGGTGGAGTGTGGATCATCCCGCAATGAGATTTTAATTTAAATTTAGATTATCATACGAAATTGATTTTAAAGCAGAGCCAGCAAATGCAGAGAGACATCAATGGAAAAATGAAATAAATTAGAGGCGACGATGGGGAAGACTACTGACAATATAAAAACCAAAAAAAAAAAAACACAAAAAGGATTTAGACACAGGACAAAAACAAAAAAGGATTGCAGTCATCCGTCTGGCGGATGTCGAATCAAACATTTTTTCTGATTATTTTTACTTTGATTTAAATTTAACACTTTTGTTGCTTTAGCTCTAAATAATATGTAAAAAAAATCATCATAATATATAAAAAAATTCAAAACAGAAAACAGAAAAAAAAGAAAATTGAACAGAAGTAGACGTACAAAGTTTAGAAAGCAAATCAAAGTAAACATGAGAGGCGTGAACATTTGCATAACCAAACAAGGAAAATGGAAACAAAACCAAATGAAAAACCAAACACAACACACTCGAACCTATAAGCGTGGAGCCACAGTGTGTTGTTCAGCAACTAAGCTAATATTAGATGTAAACTAAGCTAACTAATAACTTTAAATGGATTGCAATAAAAGTCAACCCCAAAAAGGAAAACAACCGAATTGAGATTAAATTGAGAAAGGCAAAGTTTTCGAATCTAAAATGTAGATTCCTGTAGCTGGATGGGCATTAATATAGCATCTTAAATTTTAAGTAGCAACCATCTCTGTTAGTCAATTTGACTTCAAAGGGTCTTTAAGAAGTCAAATTGCTAACAAAAATCTCTCTAATAAATATATTCCTAAACCTTCTTCCCCTGATCAATCTCTGATCAAATCGAAACAGAAAATGTAATATAAAAAAATTTATTCAGAATTTTGAACGCGTGCTTATTTAACCACTAAAATAGCCAATAATACTAGACGTATTAAAAATGAGAAAACAACAAGGCGCGAGCTGTTTTGTAAAATAAATCCCAAGTTCGATGGAGGACACAACCAATAAATCATGCTATTCCGAATCCTTATTGTGCCTATATCGGCACTTTACTAATAAGGGAAGCAGTACTTTTAATGCCCCAGAGACTATGAGACATGATCCCGCAAAGCTGAAGGCAGCTGTATAGTTTCCATGAGTTCCCACCATTTCTCCGGCAATGGTAGTACCAATAAAAGCGCCCAGACCCATGGCCAAAGAGGTAATCCCAAAGGCATTGGTAAGCTTGGACAGGCCTAGGTATTTCACATAAATAAGTCCACGCATGGTGGAAAACACAGCTAATAGATAGAAAGTCAGGTGGTAAAGGTTATTGCCAATAAGTTATCTTACCCACCTGTAGCCACCGCATATGTTATGGCATAGAGAAACTGAAACCAAATCAAGTCCTGGCCATAGAAGGCGCTTGTGAAGACGGAACATCCACCGAAAACTAGACCAAAACCACAGATCATCGTTGTCCAGTGACGTCGCTTGTAAGCCACAAAGCCACAGATATTCCTGAAGATCATATTGCAAATCCCAATAAGTGGGCCAATAAACCGAGCATATTCAATGGGAATGGTGGTACGTGAAGATGAGTAAATGAAGGGAATATTAAAGCCCATGGGAAAGAGCAAAGCTGAGGCCACCAAAATCTTAAACTCGAACTGTTTCAGCAGACGGTAGTCGAAGAGTTTGACGAGTGTGATCATGAATTTGCTATGCAAGCAGGACCTTTGTTTCTTGGGCGGTGTCTTATCCCATCTCTGGTTTTTAAAAATACTTTTCACGGAAGATCGTTCATCATCGTCTAAATGAATTTTCGTAATGCCATAGTTAACTTGCTGGGTCTATGGAAGGGCAGATAATGATGTCCTGTAGCAGAACTATAGAATACCTACATTCTTATCCGAGCCCATCAGATGAACTTCCCTGCCTTCAAGGTTCTCCGTGTTGTGTGGTTTCCCGTATTCAGCCGGACCCGTGTAGAAGAGATCGTCCCGCTCTAAAGGCGCCGGGCGTATCAAAAGATTTTGCTCATCCTCCGGCGGTTCCTTCCTGTGCTGCTTGGGACAGCATTTCGTACAGCAGGAACAAAACCTGGCGCATCCGTTTTTCTTGGTAGACGGCTCATACGAGCTAAGGATACTCCGACTTCTTGTAGTCTGGCTGGATAGACGCATATAGTCGTGCACGTAAAAATTCCCGTAGAATTCATCGGAACTGGTGTCCATATCGTAATGATGGTACATCCCCACCTGAGTGGGCGGAACCTCTACAAAAGCGATGGCTGCAATCAAAATCAACAAAACGAATCCAGCTTGCGTTCTAAACATGTTCCGCCATCCGATTATTGGCACTAGATAGGCGTTAAGGAATGTAAAGAGGACTATCCCGGCACCGCCGCCACTGCAGGAGAAGCCAGTGGCCATCGGACGATACCGTTCAAAGTAATAGCCCACGATTAGCTGCGAGCTTGCCCAGATCAAGCTCATCGTGAATCCACCTGGGCGAACTGGGGTTGTTATTCATAAGATCACCACATCGATTTGTCAACCTACCAATGATGCTGTAGAAGCAGATCAGCATAACCACGTTGACGCTGCAGCTGGCAATCAAGATTGTGGATGAGGTGCATAACACCCCCGCAATTGCAACCTTCCGAAAACCGAAACGATTTATCAGCGCGGCGGCAAAGGCTCCGCTCGTAAAGTAACATCCGATCTGGACACTTGCCACGAATAACACTGAAGTTATTTCAACTTTCATATCCTTGGCTATAAATGGCAGAAGGACGCCGATGGTAAAGATCAGGCCATCGATGATCAGCTGGGCGAAAAAGGACAGAAACATGATCATCCAACCAAAGCCACCGTCTGGTGGTATCACCATATAGATCTGCGGAAGGTACAAGATCAGTACTTCAGTGGTCCACCGCCGAAATATTGCCATCAACTCACTTACAAAAACCATACCAGAGCCCAGATGACGGCCGCTAGGAGCTATGCTGTGGGATTTCCGGGAACCTCTACTCTGTGTGTCCCACACTGTGTTGTCTTTCCGGCTTTTCTTGTCGTTCTCGCTGAAAGATCCCTCCGAATCGGTGGCGGTCAACTCACGACTTATCACAACTACTGGGTCTTCTTGTTCTATCTTAGTTCCAAATTCAAACGAATCCTCCGAATCGTATCTTGGAACTAACGGAGCTCCTGTAAAGCACCCATAAAAGTTACTTATTATTGAGGTACCCATTGGAGGGAGTCACAAAGATCAGTCCAACTTACTCTTTTTGAAGAACTTTTGCGTTTTGGTGACTAGACGTTCCTCTATTTCATACGGTTCCGTGTCACTTGTAGAGCTCCTTTTCGGAGACACCTCCACTATGCTCTCAACGGATGTCTCCTCGTGAAGAAGATGAAGAGAAGAGGGGTAGTCTTTGCGTGAGACTCGCTTATCGACTGGAAGGGGTGTTAGCACTCTCTGTATATTGGGCTTCACATAAGGCACTTCTGAAATCGGTTCAATGGGTGTAGACTGAGGATTGGTATCATCATCCTTTGGCTCATCTGGTGCCTCCACAAGGATGTGAGGAAAACCCCTGAGGGAATCTCGTCCGTAGAACGAAGACTGACTAACAGATGTAGTAGAAGTTCTCCAATCTAAGATGGATTCAGTGGCGACAGCCACATCGACCATCTGTGGGTGCTCAGTCCGTGTTTCATTCCCATAGATGGACGAGACTTGGACCAATAGCTCCTGCCCGGGCATTGATCGCGACCTCAATCTCCTCTGGCCATTTTGTTCTACTGAAGCAGCAGTCTGTTCTTCATCTAAAGGCAATGGGATGCTGGGCAAGCTGAAGGCATGGGATTTGGTTAGAATGGGAACTAGAAGGGTGGACACACTCACCTCCGCCTACGATTCCTGCTCATTTTTCGACTCTGTCGCAGCGTGTTCCTGACATCTTTCACAAATCTCTCTGCGTCTCGAACCCAATCCACAGTGGCTGGCTACGTGTCTGGCTGCGATATGAGAAACTCCAGCTACGAGGGGGATTCATGGGGCTTCGTGGGATTCGGAGACTGTCGCCAGACATTAGCTGCTCCTGGCTACCAAATGCTGCCATGGCAGCCATGGCAAGCGTGACAGACAGAGTTGGTTGTTGCTGCCCCCGCAGAAGTTTCCTTGCTGTTTCCTCTCCTTTTTTTTTAGTCATCTCTATTCGAATCCATGGCGAATCCCCTACCAGCCACATCCCGATCCCAGTTCAATTCCATCTCCTCTCCCCGCCTGCCTGTTTATTTTGGGGCCAAAACAAAATTGCATCTGTGCAATTTCATTGATTGCAAGTAAATGAAATCATTCCGTAGTCGTTGGTCTTTCCACAGAGTGAGTTCAAGTTGGAGTGGGCTAAAGTGCATCTCGGCTTTAAGGCCAGTAACTTCATTGGCAGTCACTCAAAGGCAACAAAAACTGTAGGATTGGGGTCGGCACTGCTTTCCCCCATTTGATTAAATGGAAAGTGATGCCCAGCTGTTGAATTCGAGGCAGTCAGTCAGGCGATGCTTTATGAAACACCAGTCTATCCATCGCACCCTTAACAAAGTTTAACTAAGCCAGTCCTGCTGGAAATGTTCTCGCAAAATGAATAACAAACAAAATGCACTAATTAATTAGCGTAAAGGCTTCTGACTGGCCAACTTTGGACCATCCACCACTTGAACTTTCCACCCAGCGGATTTTCCCTTTTTTTTTTTGTGTCCCGCGGGGAAGCTGCGATTGCAGCGGCTATTTTTCCTGGCCAACAACTCTATGCGGAAATTGTTTTTCTCGCATTTTTTTTTTTGCAAAAGGTTCACTCGTACGTGCTCGTTTTTTATAGCCCAGGTTGGTTTTTTTTTCTATTTTTTCCCCTGAGCGCCTTGAAATCGAAACGGCCGAAAGATTGCGCTGCCAAATTGTTAACAGCAATTGACCCAATTTTATAGGGGGCCCTCATGCATGGCCACTCTCGAGCGGCATTGACTCCAATGAAAATATCGCCGTAAAAGCGAAAACTGCCCAGAGAGAGCGGCGAGCAGCGAGCAACGCGTCGTATACTTATTCTAGTGGATTTCTGTTGTTTTTCCGAGGAGGCAAGCTATGTGTATATATTTGTTTTTTTTTTTTTTTTTTTCGTAGGCTTTGTCGTTCTGCTGGCTGCGTTCTGTTTGCATTTAACTTGCAAACAAGCTGGGGAAAAAAATCCGTAAAGTGAAGGTTGCGATGTCTATTTTTTCTTTATTATTGTTTGCCGTCAAATCAAGGCAGCTGGACATTGCAATTCGCTGGCATCGAATCCACTAGCAATTAACTCGAGAATAAACAAGGAAAACCCATTTGGGCTTTGGCCCGGAAAGAGCTCAATTTGCGACAGCTTCCGAAAAGTGTACTTAAATGTATGAATTCTTACCCAATTTTCAAGGGATGAAGTAGGTTCTTTTCTAAAAAGAAAATACAGCTTATCTGGTTAGCCTTGAGTTAGATTTCTGAGACCTGGTAGGCAGTAACCAGGGCAAGGGTCAGATCAAAGTTAAAGGCTCACCAGTAACAACCTAAATTTCGTTTCTCTAAAACTGGCTCACAACCGGTTCCAATCCAAATCCTCCGTTTCGTAATGCTTCTGGTTAATGGCACCACCAACACCTTCCGTCCACACTTCCTAAAAAGTTTAGCCATTGTTGGACAACGGCTGGCCCACTCTGGTGATAAGTGCGCCAAGAAGAAGAAGGACACCAGAAAGTGCGAGAAGTATGTACCAGCCAATGCGATGAAGCCAGAATGTCTACCGGTCAATGCGCAGGTTCCGAAATACTACAAGCAGCTCAATCCTTGCAAAACTGACAAAGAACTGGCCGTGCTGCATCCCAAGTATCTGGGTGTCTGGGGTCGCTGTGATATACCGTACAAACCAGAGCCATGGTGTCAGGATCCCTGTGACCTCGTCGAACGAATGGATGACAAGCACTATAAGCCCAGCAAATCTCTGGATCGCGAGTTTGACCAATACTGGGTCGAGTGCTTCTTCCGGAAGCAAAAGCGTTGCTGCCGCAAGGTTGCACCGGAACGGACACACCGCGTCATAACCAGTAAGTGCGGTAGAGCTGCCAAACCGAAGCCATGCGCTACCGTAAATCCCATGCCCTGCAGACAGGAGGCCAAGGCTGGACCCTGTCCCAAGATGAGCCTCTGCGATTGTCCGCCAGCTAGCGCCAAAACCAATTGCCGTGTGGCTCCTCGAAGAAAAAGATGCCGCCGTCGGGCATGTCAGTATCCCAGCTTCTCTGAATGCCAACACGACGAGCTGAACAAGCTCAGACCCGTCGAGTGTCGCTGTCTGGAGGTGCCGCCTCTTTGCCTTGTCTACCGCTACGCTCTTCTCAATCACCGTCATCCCTGTGATCCACTAGGGCGCCGGGATCCCTGCGAGTCTTGAGAAACGTTTTTAGTGGTTTAATTCCGGGTTTATTTTGGAGAATCGAAATTTTTGGTTAAATAAAGTTGAGCTAATGATCATTTTAAAGAGCATATATAAATATTTTATTGATTTTATGGGGGGTTGTGGGTGCTTTTTCCTGGAAGCTCTTATTCTCATTCGTATTTTTTAAGGACAAAAAGTGGTAAATTCCCACCCACTAGGATATAAGCGTAGGATATAAATGCATGTAGAAGAAATTTTCGAGATTGAAAAGACAAATCTTACTTTGTTTTTATCTAGCCTTTGAGCAGTAAATTCAACAAGAAAGGAGGCCTTATTTTCTCCCTACTTACATCAAATTAAAGAAAATTTTCAATCATAGTTGGCCACATTTCGACTATATATACTCCCAAGTAGGCCTTGAAACGAAATGTCAACTTCTATAGGAACCTTAACCTAGCATCTGGCTCATTCACACGCAATAGTCCAAGTGGAGAGGACGTGGAACACCTCTGCCCCGTAAAAATCAGTCTTCCGTTTTGGTTTCCGTTCGAAATTCCAGTTAAATTCAGTTAGAATGGGGGTCTTGCAGAACATCCACAAGACACTGTTTTTGCAGCCCAGACTGGGAACACTGACTGTTAGTGTGCGGAATCGGATGTATGATGCTAAGAAAATTGCAGTACGACGTAGGCGATTGGAGGTCAAGAAGAATAAGGAACCACCGAACCAATGTTTCATGGCGCTCCGTCGCTCCGCTAACCGTTGCAACCAGCCGCGCCTCAAGTCGCTTATCAACGAATGCATAGACGATCCCTGTGGGGAGATGGACTTGCCCATGGATCTGGATCACTATACCCCGAGTGACAAGGCGGCACGCAAGTACCAGAGAACATGGTGCGAGTGCTATATGATTCCGAAGGCAGCGGTGAAAGCGAAGAAGAAGTACCCGAATAGGCCACGCCGTAAGTTCGAATGTCCAACTGTAAGCCATGTGGAATGCCGTGACGAGGACATGAATCCTCCCGATTCTGGACGCCCAAAGCCCGAGAAACTAATAGAAGTCCCACGGATTGGTCCTTGGCCCTGCTGCAAGATACCAACTCCAGGATGTAAGGAAGGCCGACGACCACCCTCATGCGATGTGGGACGTATACCATCCTGCTGCAAAAAGCGTCGCACCCAGTATCCCAGCTTTTCCGAGTGCAAGAGGGAACCAATTGAATGGCTTCCACCATGCGAATGTGAAAAGAAAGTCAGCTTGTGCGATGTTTTTGCCTATTTGCGGAAGTTACAGACCTAAAGCATGTTTTGGAGAAAATCATGGAAATCAAGACGGAATGATGACTGCATCTGGATCAAGATGTCCCAAAAATGAGCACTGATTTTATGCTAAAGGTAGCATGTATTAACGTTAAGACTGTGTTAATGGGTTCATTTCAAAAATATTGATCCTTCAGGCCGACTATCCTTTTACATATTTTGATAGTTTAATGCAAATTTTAAACAGTTGTAAAATAAATCATTAGTGCCCCTTAAAAATATGTAAATTTGTAAACGATATTAAAAACTTTCATTTCACTGCATCAAAGTGTAAGCTTATTCCATTCTTAGAGCCTTCTAAAGGATCGCATTGAATGCGACTTTCAGGAATGCTTGATGGTTAATTCTTGGCAGCCCCAGTGAAGTTCTTTTGCTGCACAGCCACACCCCTTCGTTCTAAATTTTTCTACCATCGTCTCCTTGTCGTCCTGCCTCGGCTCCTTCGCCCGCAGCTCTTTAGTTGGAGTGCTCTCCTGTGCAATTCCTAAAAGGGATTTGCATGCCGCTGAGATGTTTATCGCAAATTGTTGCCGTCGTCTGCGTCGTGGAGGATGTTGTGACGTTGTCGTCTGGCGGCGCACAAATGTCAACAGCACAAAGCTCTGACGTTTACATTGAAAGTCACTTTGGGCGCCAGGCAGCCAAACAGACAAACAGAAGGATCCTGGGGGCCAACCAACAGAGAGAGAGAGAGCGATGGCTAATGAAAAGCACCAACAAAATCCAATGCATTTTTATTTAAATGCAAATGTTTAGCCTGCCAGCAAGTGTTTAATTGTGGAGCTCGGCATTGACAAGGAGAGATCCTGAAAGGCCCAAGGAATGAGTATTTTTAGAGGGCTCTGAAATGGAGCTGAGAATTTGCCAAACATTCGTCCTGTTTGGCTGTTGTTTTTGGCCAAAAGTATGCCCTGGAGTGACATTTCGCACAAATGAAATGTATGGCTGGAAAGTTGTCTATTTCTGTGCCCAAACAAATAATTTTATTATAAAAGTTGTTCCTGCCTGCTGACTGCTGCTGCCTGCTTGCCTTTTTTTTTTGTTGTCTGTGGACTTTTGTGGCTTCTGGTGAGTAATAGATACCATGTTTGTGAGAATATTTCTGGAGGAGAATATACTCGTGTGTAAGGGAAAGTAAAGTGAGATATATGTCACCAAGAGTTGTGCTAAGCATATCAACAAAAGCGTTGTGAATGGCATCATGTATATCCTATAGTTAAAATCTAAAAATTCTTGAAATAAAAATTCAAATTTAACAAATTGTGAAACTGAAAAGGAATAGGGTTCTATGTGTATTCTAGTTGCCACAGTAACTCAGCTCAAATTGGATTTATTTCTTTGTTATACAAGAACATGGCCGATTATCCGCTGCTCCTGCCATTTCTCTCCCCGGTCGAATAGGCTTTATGACTCCCCCTAGTCACGGGGATTATGATAAGGCTTTACGACTTTGGCTGTCCAGTAGCACTGGCTGGATTAAAAGCTTTTTGCGGTTTGGATATGGGATGGAAGGACGCCAGGATGCCACTAGAACGAGGGGGGAGAAAAGAGGTAAAAGGGTTAGTGTAGAGCCCTAGGCAAGGCAAACAAACAAATTTAGTTATGACCAACAAAGTTGCAAGGCCCCTTTGCTTTACAGCTCGACCAATTAGCTGGACGACGATGCTGACCTTAATTACACGTGCACTTTTAGTGCAACCAGTGTGCAGTTACCCCACCCCTTGCCCCCACCTTTTTCCACCATTTGTTGCAGTTTAGCCCATAATCTGGACACATACTCATATATATATATACATATATATATATATAGTGTGGTATCAACATACATGTGTAGCTGCACCCACATAACCATAAATGTAAAATGCCATTCCATTCCATTTTTGTTTTCTGTTTTTTTGTGTTTTACTCAGCTGGCTACACTTTACACACTTTGTTGGCTCCGTGTCCGGGTCTAAATGTTGCTGCTGGATTGTTAATATTATTTTATAATTTCGTTTTATTACTCCTACTCAGCCGTAGAGCGTTGTAAACATGTTGTCGTGAATGGACGCGAAGTGGGGTATGCCCCCGAGTACCACCACCCCGGTGCCATTTGGGTAGTCAAAGTGTGCCATTAAACGTTAAGCAGGCAATGAGGGCAAAGCGTTAAATGCCGGGCGGGGATTTTGACGGTCAGAGATGAAGGCATTTAACCCGGACAACCCAAAAAAAAACTATATAAAAAAACCAGCTAAGATCGCTTTAAATTTTTTCTCCTTGCCTTTAACCAAAACTTTGCAGAGCAGCAAATATTTTCTTAGAAATTTATTGAGCGCAAAAATGCTTTACCTTTCAGAGCAAAAATCAAAACAGAAGGTGGTAAGCCAAACGTAAAAAGTGGTTTACATATTACAGCTTACGGATATGCACTTACATAGCACTTTATGATTTTCCTTTCACACACACTTGATCAATTTTTACTCTTTCAGCTTTGTTGTTCTCTAGAATCGGTTTGTGTTTCAAAGCTTACTGAAGTGAAAACCAATGCAAACCATAAGGGTTTTGTGTTTCCTTCTTTTGTCTGCATTTGCATGACATTTTAAACGGACTTTGTTTCGGCTTAGCCAATGTATGATTCTTAATGATTGCTAGTTTTGGAAAACAATTAAGTTTCATGTTTGCTGTACTTAAAAACAAGAAGCTTATTTAGGAAAATACATTCCTTGAATGTAAATTTGCTGTTTTATTTTTTTCTCGCACTTCAATCATTTCCCAGGAAAAATAAATAAAATTGTTGCCTACTTTGTGGCGGCGCTGTAAATTTCGCCTTTCATCAATCGCCTTTCGTATATATATTTATATTGACATTTATTGAAGGCGCAATTCTATTGACATAATTCAAATAGGCAACAACGTGCCACGCAATTCAAATGCGACAAAATGTAAATTGCCTGATAGAGAGACAGAGAGAGAAGGGGAGATTACGTGCCGAGCGAGAAGACAAATCAATTTGAGGGAACACAATTTGGAGTACCAGGAGTAGGTACATAGCCTTAGTCGAAATGATAATGAAGGCACAAATTTTTGTCTCCATTGTGCAAGTGACAATGGGCCAAAGATAAAAATGACAGCCACAATCTGCCTGCTAAGTCGGGATGAGATCTCCTGGGGGGGCTATTGTCTCAGTAGCGGACTCCCGGAATGGGTAATGCACACATTGTGGCAAAGAGTTTAAGCAGCTGTTGTCTGGCCGGCGTCTAAATGTCAGACTGCGGCTTATCGCCAGCGTTTTGACAATTTTCCGACTCTACCCAGTTGTCTCTCTTTTTTTTTGCCATTTTACCATTTCACCATTTTGCTATGGCGGCTGCCAGTTTAATTATGACATTTAATTTCGAGTTCATTGTTGGCAAATCTCTGTCTGCGCACAAAAGCATGCAACAGTTTTTTTTCTAGCAGCTGCTGCACAAGCGGAAGTACATTTGTCGTCGACTGCACAAACCGGAAGTTGTAGCACACATGTACACATCACACAATCAGCGCCTGGTTATATGCCACAAATATTTTACGGGAAAAACATTTGCGAAAATCAGAAAATAACATTTGTTAAACCCTCTTTAAAGTTTTTTTGAAATTCCCCAAGGCAAAAAAAATCGCATGTGTGAAAATGGTTCGTAAATTCGTTCGAATACATTTTTAATTATTAAGCAAAAAGCATTTAAGTATAATCATCTTTTTTAATTTGTAGCAAATATTTGTAGAGCTCTTTATTTTTTAAATTTCTTACCATGGAGTTACCTTAAATTTAGGTTCTCCCTAATGAAGAATTCATTAAACTCAAATCATAAACTTGGCAAGTGAGGAACATTAATAGCAATACATTATCTTGTTGGGTTGGTCCGGGAACCATTAGATCGGAGCTGGGCCGGATAATAAAGCCATTTTCGGCTAGGGTGCCGATTTAAGTTGCCATTTATGAACATGTGCCGGCATTTATGCATATTAAATTAGTCAGCTTAGGCAAATAAACAGGCCAGAGGACCACCGAACCCTTTTTTATGGTCCCAAGAACTGCGTCATATTCCCACACATTTCGCTTAATATTCAGAGGTTCAGCTGGAAAAAGGAAAAGAAAACCAAGAAAAAAAAGAAAACTCTGGTGGGAAAAGGATGGTATCCATATAATAGTTGTTTGGGGCAACTTAAAAACGCATGTTGGAACTTTTCAAGTGTGAATTGCTCTTCATTTTTGCAGCAGACACAGCAGACCCAACGGAAAAACTGGGCAAGCTGAAAGGAACTGAACTGAAAAGGCATTCGTTGCCTACTTTTACCAGGCACACTGTATCCCTATGCGAAATGTGTATGCGGGTGGGTGTGAGTCGCAGTTGTAACAAAAAGAAACATAAAATAAAATGGCAACGGCAGAAATGTTTTATAAAAATTTATATGAGCATAATTTGTAACTGCAGGAGAAAAAAAAAATATATAAAAAAGAAAAAGAAGAACGCACACGCAGAAAGAAAAGATGGAAAAAGAGATGTTACAACGACGCCTCCGACCAGGGGCGTATGAGTGTTTTTGCGGGTGTAGACGGTGGGCGTGGTCCTGTCAGACAATGGCAACTGAAAATGGGCTGCAGATGTAGAAAATGAACATATTTTCGGCTGTGGCTGAATAGAGCAGCTCGATTTGAATTGCCAGAAACGCTGCTGGTGTGCGGATAATGGAAAGCATTCGTTCTTAGAAAATGAGCAATAAAAAATGTAGGAAATTCTTAGCTAATAACTGGAACATAATTTAGAGTAGCAAGAGAGAGATTTCTCATCTCTTTAGCCATGATTATCTCAAAAAATGTTGAAATGCTGAATTTATTAAAGAAAAATAGTACAAAAAGTATTACTAAGTTGGTATTTACAGGGGAAAAAGCGTTGGAAAGGATGGCAAAATCTTTGAAACGATTCTAATTTTTAATAATTTACTATTTTCATATAGTCATGGGTCACTTTATAGGTCATACATGCTCCTTAATTGTTGTCTACTTCGTTTTTCACAAAAGTAAAATAAGTTTTATTCTACAAACAGAATAAACTTTCATCACACAAAAAGTACACAAGACCAGCAAATAAACAAAACTACGTTTCCAGTTCAAACTTAATTTATATTTCGTTCGTCTATCCAGCCAGTTATGAATTCCTGAAAATCCAGGCCAACTCTTGATTTTCAATAAATGCCAATACAATAAACTAGAAATATTTTTAGTTAACTAACTACTATGAAAGTATTTTTTGGTTACTCTATCGAACGAAAGTGATCAACTGTAATTAAAGAGAAATTTGCAACCAATACTGTAGTTAGTGTTTATCAGTTTTCCCCTTGACTATTTTTCAGCTGCTTTTGCAGATTTTCCGACTTTGGCATGTGGCACACAATTAAGATGCAAATTGTTTTTGCACAAAATCAAATTTCCTTCTCCGGCAAACAACAACAGGCATATCAGTTTGCCACTTGCCGAACTCTTTTTCATTTTCCCTGGCTCTTTTTGTTGCTGCTGCTGTTGTTGTTGTTTTTGTTGCTAAGTGACAGATACAACAACAATAACGGGCAACAACAATTGGGGGAAAAATGCTTAAATGTCGTTCAAGTTTGCGAGTTAAGTGCACTACGTATGCAATCGACACATGTGTGCAACAAAACTCGTTAACACTTGAAAAGTTTCATGGGCCCGAGGGCAAGACGGGAAATTCTGGGCTCACTGCACTTCACACACACAAACACACACTGATACTTAAAGTACGTGTCCCACAGATACATATATGTGTGAGAAGTATCCATGTGAGAGCAAAGTAATGCTGCTGAAAAAACACTTAAGCAGAATGTTGTATATATTCCGTAACCAAGTGAGGCGCAGAGTTCAGTTTTGCCTCCATTTAGTTCGTTAGATAAATCTTTGCAACACTGTTGGTATGTGTGTGTGTATGTGTGTTAGCCAGTAGCTAAGTGTATGTGTGAGCTTGTGCGTTGGCCTTTGGGCATCTTGTAATCGTTGGGGTTGAGACCCGATTGACAAGGAGATGATGCCCGGAAAACAGCGTCTGGAATGCAAATCGTTAGTTCTTGAAAATTTCTTAAATGGATGGGTTTGGATTGGCCAATGTCTTCTAAAGATATCAAAGGGATTAATGGTAAGAATATTCTTAAAATATAACAAATAAAAAATAAATTTAATTTTGACAACATTTGATTTTTCTGACATGTATTTTTTCAAAATTCCAAAAAATGTTAGGACCTTCTTTTTTAAAGTAGAGAACCAGGGCAGAGCATATGCTGATGCTGGTGGGTCGGAGGTGGCTCAGCTCTGGCTTGGCACGGCGTGCCTTGCATCGCAATCCACATGAGATGACCCTGTTCGAAATGCTGGGCTGCACCAATCTTCGCAAGAGTACGCCCGAGGACTATCGAATCTTGCGCGAGATCGTCAACTCCTTCGAGCGACACTCCGGAGTGGGCAACGATATACAGCTCACCCTGGAAGAACACACGGCCAATGAGCTGATCATGTGCGAAAAGAAACGGGAGTATGAAAAGGGCATCATGGATCCCTCGAAGTTTGCGCCGGGTCACCATTTTTTCCAGGTGCTGAACAAGGTGAAGAATTCACCACTCTTTCAGATACTTAGGAAAATGCCCAAAGGAGCAGCGCTCAAGACACACGACACTTCCATGTGCAGTTCGAAGGTGGTGATCGAGATGACCTATCGCGAGAACCTTTGGGTCTACACCACCCAGGCGGGATGTCGGATAATGGCCTTCCGTTTCGCCAAGGAAAAGCCTAAGGATGTTGAGCACGAGGATGGCGAATGGCAGCCCATGGAAAAGCTTCGCGAGTTTCGTGGGGAGGAAAATCTTAAGAACTATCTGCGTGTCCGTCTCAGCATGTATCCTTTGGCCAGCTTCAGTACCAATGCTCATGCCTGGCGCCACATGATAGGTATCTTCAATCTGCTGGATGGACTACTACAGTATGCCCCCCTTTGGGGTGACTACTACTACAATGCCCTCAAGGAGTTCTACGCCGATGGAGTGCAATATCTGGAGGTAAGAACTATACTCCCGGAACTCTATTGCCTAGATGGCAGCCGATTGCCCAAACGCGAAACCGTTAGAATCTACAAGGACACTCTGGAGCGTTTCAAAAAGGAAAATCCGGGATTTATTGGTTCAAAACTCATATATGCCCCAATTCGACACGTGCAACCGGAAGTGGTGGGCCAGTATGTCAAGGAGTGCACTGAACTGAATGTAAGTCGTAGCTGCCAAATAAATATAAACCAAGTTAATATAACTGCTTCTGTAGTTGCCAACTAACTAGCTTATTAATTAGTTTAAATAATCGCCCTTTGAATTTTAGTCTTTAGTAAATCGAAATGACTTGCTTTGTTTCCTGTTCTGACAGCTAAGCTTAAAATTAATTACTGTTGCCATTCGGCCTGCTAGACTTTAATCGAATGAAATCATTTTCTGGCACCCAAAACAAAGACATCGATTTCTGTTCAAAGTACGTGTTTTTGGCAAAGTTAGCAAATTGCCTTAATAATAAAGGAATATTGTGTAGCTAATTATGGTTGACTTTATATTAAGACCAGTCAGCCTTCATCCGAGAACAAAGACAACGATTTCTGGTCAACGAAAATGTTTTGTATTAAATAACCTTTTGTAATCTTCACTGACAAATTCCTTTAACTTTACAACAATTTACCTTTAGAAAGAGTTTCCCGACTTTGTCATCGGCTTCGATTTGGTGGGTCAGGAGGACGTGGGCCACCCGCTGAGCAAGTTTGCAGAGGAACTCCTCAAGCTGCCCGACCACATCAACTTCTACTTCTCCGCTGGCCAGACAAACTGGTATGGATCACACGTTGATCAGAACCTTTTGGATGCCATTGTACTGGGCACTAAAAGGATCAGTCATGGCTACAGCATTACCAAACACCCAGTTCTCATGCGTCTGGCCAAATACCTGAATATAGCCCTGGAAGTGTGCCCAGTGTCCAATCAGGTGCTCCAACTGGGATCTGATTATCGGAGTCATCCGGCGGCCACACTGATAGCCGAGAATGTGCCCATGGTGATAAGCTCAGGTAATCCAGGATACTGGCGAGCGGCTCCTCTGTCGCACGATATTTACATGGCCTTCCTGGGCATAGCACCCATGAATGCTGATCTGAAGTTCCTTAAGCGTACTGCCAAGAATTCCATAAGATACAGTTCCCTGTGGGACGAAGGAAAGGCCGAAGCCATGGAGAAGTGGAAGAAGGAATGGGACGAGTGGATCGGAGATATTGTTGCCCAGAAGGAAAAGGTTTTCAAGAAGGAAAAGAATTAATATAGAAAAAGAGTATTAGAGATTTTTACATTTGGAAAAGAATGTGTCGTTTAGCATAAACGGATTTACAAAATCAGATAATTATATTTTGGTAACAAGGTAGTTTTCTTTTGGCTTCATAAATGTTAATAATTGTAAATTATATCCTATGTAGATCCTAAACCAATAAAACAGTTCAAAGACCAATGACATATTAGTAGTCTTACTTCTAAATAATAAGCCAAGCCTACTTTCATTGTTAATAATAAACTATTCATTTATTACGACGACATCACGACATAGTGCGGATGTTATATAATTAAGGAAAGTGCCGCAAATACATTCCGATATACCTCACGTCCAACTTATCCCGCAGTATATATATATATTGAAATCCTACCTGAATTTGCGCAACATTGTTTGTAGGGGCCAAAAACTTTTCCACTCACGCACATCGGAAAGCCCTAAAGTCAATGACCAATGGCAGAAAAGGGGGAAAATCTTCTTCTGGATAAACCTTGAGCTGCACTTTCAGTCGCACCGCAAATTGTTTGAGTTTCCGCTTCTTGATTATTTCAGGCAAACCAATAAGTTTCTGGCCAACTTTTTATTGCATACTTCGCTGCGGGTGATCGAAAGGGAGGCATGGCAAGGCTAAAGGAGGGGTCATGCAAATGTCACAGAAACTAACACTTCCGTCTGTTTGAGTATATGTGTGGTGGTACTAATTTCATTGACTTCCATTTTCCTTAAACACGCACACACACACATGACAAAGTTCCTTGAGGGCGTGGAAGTTGGGAAAAGTCTTCGATACGATCAAGAAAATAAACTTTCTGCCCTGCCTGCCATTGCTTATAATTAAAAACTTTATTATTTGTTTAACTTTGCCCGCAGCTGTTGCACATTTGACAGACAGAGATGGCAAAGTGTAGCAGAAGAAAATGGTGAAAACTTGTCTCGCAGCCACACAAGAATTACCAGCAATTATCGAAAAAGTTTTGCTTCATTTATCGCCTGGAAAGTCAGTCACACTTTCTTTCTTTTTTTTTACATTTATTTTTTCTATGGTATTGCCCGAGACAAACTACCAATGCGTTTTTGACAGGTATACTTTCCACAAACTTTTTAACGATGCGCAAAATACATTTATGCCACAACGCTCCCGACGCCGCCTAATTTGCAAATTTATGAATATAAAGTGGTCTCAAAATGCCAAACAAATTAATCAAATATGCAAATTTCCCTTTTCGCCAGACATATACTCAGGTACAGGCAATCGGCAATCATTATTCGCATTAAAAATATGCGTAAAAAGAAGAGATTTGCAAGGACATGGGAAACTGTGCAGCTGTCAGGACATGGAGATCTTAAACTGTAAAGGCCAGTGCAAGCGATGAGGAAAATTTGCTTGGTTAAAACTATATTAAGGCAACTAATTAATGTATAAGAAACTCTATTTTACTCTTTGGTAAAATTGGTTTTAAAAAAGGTTAAATGGAATTTGAAGAAGACCTTGGGAAAAGTTGGAAATAGATCACAGTCCAGACTAGCATTTCACGTCATTAAATTCTTTTGGAATGCAAAAGAAAATGTCGATTGCTCAGAGAAAACCCGAAATCAGCTGGAAAAAAACCAAAAATAGGTAATTTTTCCGATCACCTCGCAATGTTAAGGGTCGCATTGATTAGGGAGGACTGTACACTTGATAAAAATCAGTCAAAAAACTTGGTTCGATGCCGTCACACCTATTTTATTTATATTCCATTCATTTTAATGGATTTTTTTTGTAAATCAGTAAGTAGGTTTTCCATGAAAACCAAATGTAAGTTTTCCCACATAACTCTTAGAAACAGGAACAAGTGGTATTTAAAAATGTCGCATTGCTGTTTCACATTCTTATTGGACTTTACAAAACATTATACACACACGAATCTACCGATTCCTGCATAGAGATAAATCCTGAGTTACCATAAATCCACAAATCCCTTCCCTCAACCAATTTCTACCCAATTTCCCTGACACACTCTCTCTCTCTCTCTTTCCCTGTTGCATTTTGATGTCTTGCTTTGGCATCTAAAGTCCAAAATCATCATCATGATGATGGGAAACTGGAATGAGGATTGGCAAGAGGATGGAGATGAGAATGAGGCATGATGACCACGGAGGCATAAAGCGCAGTTAGTTTGCATACAAATGGCATTTGGAAATGTGCAAAAGGATTGCGCAAAAATCAACGCGACATGCCAAGCAGGACAAATAATGTGCATAAATTTATCCACAGATGGGTAGACCAACCAGCCAAAGATTGGACAGATTCATACAGACGAGACGAGGGTATGGGTGATAGGGATCCAGAAGCAATAATAAAAAAGCAAACAAGTGATGGTCAATATGTTGCACTGGGCACTGGAGGATGGGTTTTTGTGTGGATGATGCTCCTGATGATGATTAGATTACCGCATGCGAAACTGGAGAAGGGAGCTGGTTCATTGGAGATTTTTGGATGGATGAACGGGTAAGGTGGAGACAGTGGAGACAGCCACATAATAACGCTTATGTTCTGGACATTAGCATTGCCAAAGGACGATGAGGTTTCTGCCGTGTGGACCAACTGATTGGCATCGTCGCTTACACTTTTCTTGTTTGTCCAAAACAACCCCTCTCTCGTCTCATCTACCCATCTGAATTGATCAAAGTATCAAATATGCAGACAGACTGGAATTTTTCGTAATACGATGTTGGGGTAGCAGAAGCAAAGGATGGGTGTTTTCCATACATTTCTGACCCTATACTATATATGCTGTCTTTATGTGTGTTTTATGTTAATACATAGATCGTTGTGTGGCTGTCCATTAAAGGTGTTGGATTCCTTTGAGGTGATAGACTGGGATGCGTAGGGTCAGTAAGGGATAGGAATTTACAAGATAGAATTGGTTTGAGATACAAATGTAAAGATTTTCCATTAAACGGCAGGATATACCTGTCTTTTAGAAGCCTATAAGGCTTGCATTTTTATCTTTCATTATTTTCTTTATTTTTACAAATTTATTTGAATTTTTTGATTAACCGTTTAAAAAGTAGTTTACATAAAAGTTATTATTATTCTACAGTTTAATAATTAAGTACAATCACCTTTGATTATCGCAACTTTCAGAAGAACCCCATTAATTTTACATTAAAATGTAAATTAACTTAATTAATTAACTATTAAATATATAAAATTAGTTTTATTCTTCAACAAACTGACAGATAAGGCTTTAAAAAAAGCTTTAATTCAACATTTCATTGACAACACATATAATCGCTTTAGTCCGGATATCAATTTAACAATTAATACAAATTGTTTTTCCTCACAGACGACACAGTTTCCATGGCTGCCATTTCTATATATGTGTGTGTGTGTGTGGGTGTGCGTAAATAGTTTATTGTTTAAAGGGATCAACACGGCCACAAGCCGAAACACACACACACACACACATATGAGCAATATAATTGCATTATATTTCACCATTTCCCAGCAATTTGCCTTTTGGCTGCCATTGTCTGCTCCTGTTGAATAGCGCCATCTGGTGACCGGGCTAATGAACACTCCAGCAGGTTTAAAGAGCCCAACAATGGAAGGACCCAATGCGTTTCCTATTCTCCACCAGCAATAGGAGCAAATTTGCAAATCATCAAATATAATTTCTAAACAAATTACAAACGAGCAGCCGCCACAGCCCAAAAGTTGGCAATGCAATATTCCCTACAAATTGCACACAAACACACTCACACATTTGCATAAAACGCACTTTGAACGGCCATGTTGCACATGTGTTTGTTTCTAGATCCACTGAACATTTACAAATTATGCTATAAATGTATCCTCACACACACACACAAACACAACACACAGGAAAACCCAGGGACGAAGATGATTTGCCGCTGGCATCAATTTCACAGAAGGGTTTCCGAGGAGGCTCATGGCGGAGGGAAATTGTGTTTACCACTGCAGTTGCCGTTGCCATTGCATTTGCATCCACGTTAACTGATAGCTGTTTTCCCGCCTGCTCCCGATTCTGATGCTGATTCTGAATCCGATTCAGATTCGGATTCGGAACAGGATACGGATCCTGTGTTCTCCCCCACTCTGGCTAAATCATATGCAAATGCATGCGTATGACATTTGGGCTCGAAATTTTATTGTCCGCTCCGGTTGCTAAATTATTTAGAGCCTGATTCCTGTTGCCATGACGATCTATTGAGGGAGGAGGGGATGCACTTAGAGAAAATGTTCTAGAGAGAGCTAAACATGTTTTATGGTTAGGGACAGAAAATAGAAAGACAGACGTTTAAGAACATAAGGTATTAGGAGAAAAGGAGGTTTCAAGCCTAAAGACTAAGCTACTTAAAAAATATTTTAAAATATAAATCATTTTCCTGAGTGAAAAAGCGACAACGGGTCATGCATTTTGAGCTCTGCCCACCACCACAGACAGCCGCATAATTTATGCAAAATGCGTGTGTACTCGTGTGTGTGTGTGTGTGTGTGTGTGAGTGCGTGGGCGTTACTTTGTGTATGTGTGTTCGTGTGAGTGTCGCAAATTTTAGTTGCTTTTTGGCATTGAAATCGAGCCGAGCTTTTTGGGCCTGTCTTTCAATTTGACATAAAACCTTTGCCGGATCCTTTTCGGCTCACGCTTGACACTTTATGCAAAGTGCTCATCCCTCCTTCGTCCTTTTTGGTCTCCCTTTTGGGCGTATTTCACGCCCTTTTGCCGCCGCCACACATCAAAAATAAACATAAGAATATTTATTTTTCCATATACGTGTATATATATATTGCCCTTGAAGAATGTCTCTTCCCGCAAATGAGCCACGCAAATTTTCTTTATTTTCTTTGTGTAGCTCTTTTATGTGCAACCAAGCGTGGGTAAAAAAAAAACAGATAAAGCTCCCAAAAGTTCATTAAATTTGGAATCCTTTTCTCATATTCGGTGTGGCAACAAAAGGAATTTAAATTGTTAAATGCGTATGGGAATTACCATAAAAACGTGTGCAATTTTGAATAAAATAAAGTTTTGATGTCTTAAAACATATTTAAGATTTGGGTTATGAGTAAGTAATATTATAGAACACTCACATATTTAGTTAATATAACTTATATTAAGTCACATTCACTCCCTTAAAGTGCCTCCATTCATGGCATAATCGTTAGGGCACTGACG